ACGGTAGAGGTGTTTAATGGTGGTGGTGTCTAATGGTGGTGGTGTCTAATGGTGGTGGTGTCTACTGGTGGTCGCATAATGGTGGTCGTTTCTAATGGTGGTGGTGTCTAATGGTGGTCGTGGGCACGGTGGTCGTTTCTAATGGTGGTGGTGTGGTGTCTAATGGTGGTGGTGTCTAATGGTGGTCGTTTCTAATGGTGGTGGTGTCTAATGGTAGTGGTGTCTAATGGTGGTGGTGTCTAATAGTGGTGGTGTCTAATGGTGGTGGTGTCTAATGGTGGTGGTGTCTAATGATGGTCAGATTCAATGGTGGTTATACTGATGGTTGTCATAGTTAGTGGGTGTAATTCATGCTTAATGGTGAACGTACTGTACAAACTTGCTTCGCTGTGATCTTATCCTTCGCTGTGACTCAGAGCAATTGACACCAATATACATGCACTTTGTTCCTGTTTGTTACATAAAGATTACAAAAAGTTCAACTGAAATGCCTTCATATGATCTTTTTAAGTACATTTGTCTAATGATAAACATACATACATACATACATACATACATACATACATACATACATACATACATACATACTACATACATACATACATACATACATACATACATACACACATACATACATACATATATACATACTACATACATACATACATACATACATACATACATACATACATACATACTACATACATACATACATACATACATACATACATACATACATACATACATACATACTACATACATACATACATACATACTACTACTACTACTTTGCTGTCACTCGGAATAATATGGGTTATTAGGGATGTCACCCAGGTTGGTGAGTTTTGAGGTGACTAAAGGGGCCGATACTGGACCGGCAGAGTCGTTCACATTCGTTGCACATGTGGAGGGCTGCATCTACTGTGGGAGGAGCGGTGGCAGCGTATTTCCGGCTTTGGCGCTTGTCTTCCTCGGGTTGCAGTCGGGCTAACTCAAAAGTAATGACCCCTCGTGTGGTGCTCCTCCAAGGGTTACGATGTGGAGTAATCGACTCTGAGGTGAGGGGGTCGATTTGGCACTTGTTCATCGGCTTGTCAGAGCCATGCTCTCACTTCATGTCGCCCCAAAACGGCGAAGGTAACAAGCCTCTAGAAGAAGTTTTAATACTAAGCGTCTGGAGGAGCCAGCGGTAGCACATGTTTTCAAAGAGCAGCTCGAACTTTGGCTGATTAACAACCCAACAGCAAACAACACAAATCCCAGTGCCGAATGGGGGTACTCTCAACGCTGTCATGACAAAAACCTGCAGAAAGACCCTCGGCCAGATCGAAAACATACATACATACATACATACATACATACATACATACATACATACATACATACATACATACATACATACATAAAATACAATGTTTTCATTCTCACTTACGGTCTTGTTCACTACGTATTCACATTTAAAAGGGTTTTAAAAGCTAACGAACAAGTTTAAATAATAATTTCAATTTTAATATCAGACAGAGGAGGAGAGTGAAATGGTTTGATATGGACACATTGGGTTCAGTTGTCCAGCAAAAAAAATATAACATTTCTATGATTTGGTTTTATGTAAAATTTCATTATGGTGTTCAACGTGGGTCTAAAATAACTATTGTTTTGAATACAATACTTTTATTACGTTTTGAATTGCTTTATGCGTGTGTGTGTGTGTGTGTGTGTGTGCGCGCATCATCACAAATGTAAACAAATAAATAAGAGTGTGGCTCAGGTGTACGACTCAGGGATAATCCGCCAGACAAGTAATTACCAGGTAAGTGTTAGTTATATACTTATTATAGTTTGGTGAGAAAGATGTGTGGTGTATAAGACTCACCTTAATTACTGACTTAATATCGTAATTAGAGCAGTTACTGTCACTCTCAGGTATAATTACACTTAATGGCACTTTTGTGAATTATTTCCGTGAGTATCCGCTGTTTATATGTACACCAGAGGGTAAGTTGAGTTTGTTTAATGATAACAATAATGTCCGTCTGATTTAAGGTTAGGTTAGGTTAAGGGTCGTTAATCTTAAGGCAAAATAAATTGGGGGTTATTCTTCATGTGGTATAAAAAAATATACTAAAATTTCTATAACACTATTTACATATAATAAGTCTATGTACTTTCTATTGTCAGTGTTTGAAGAAATATAGTTATGGTGATGTCTTGGAGAGTCCTAACAAAGTCTCAATTTCGTGATGTTGTTAAGATAAATCAACAATGATGTGAAATTCTGTGATAAAAATGTTTGGTTTCTGTTCCATTATCAATTCTAATGTGATAAGTGAAGTGAATTATAGGTGTGTGTGTGTGTGTGTGTGTGTGTGTGTGTGTGTGTGTGTCCAGCTTGAGGCAATAATGGATCTCAGTATAACGTGATATCAAGTGAGATAAAACACAAGAAAACATATGCATATTTACCCATTATATCGACTTATGTTTTGACTTACTCTGGGGT